GGGAGGGAGGAGGAGCAGGCAGGGAGATGATGGGAGGAGATTCCAGGCATGACAAGCAGGTCTGCCTTTGATCCTGCTGAGGCTTCCTTTGCAGTCACCGTTCCCACGTGCCTGTTCCAGTAGCCTGGAGCTCCATCCGGCTCCAGCCCTCTCCCCTGAGGAGAGTATCCCCCAGCCCTGGGCTCCAGCTGCAGCAGCATCGAGCCAGCCCTGGCTGGAAACTGGGCTTGTGCTGCAAACTCGCCCTTGCTGAAAACTAGGCATGGGCAGCAGGGCCTGTGGGTGCCAGGAGGAGCCTTTTGGCCACTGCCCTGCACAGGGCAGGCTCTGCGGGTTTGTGCCCACTGCCCCTAACAGCCTCAGCATGGGATTTGCTCCAGTGGGACAGGCATGAGGTTGGTGCCCAGAGGGGTGGGGTCCTGCTCCCGCTGTAGGAGGTATTTAGAAAGAAATAACTTTATAACTCCATCGAGTTCACTGCAGTTGTGTAAACGTCTTACAGGTTTGTGACAGCGGATATTTCAGTGGAATTGTCCCTTTGGCAGCACTCTGGGACCTGTGTCCTTTCTGAGCCCATGGCCTCCACTCTGGGGTCTCTGCTGGGACAGCAGGAGCTGAGTTTTCACAGGGGAGGTGCTGTGGGATGGGCAGGGCTCCATGGCTGCTGCTCCCTGTCTGTACTGTGCTGCCCCCTCCCATCAGGGACAGCTCCTGCCCACGGCACAAAGCTGCTCCCAGGGCAACATCTCCTTCTGCAGCTCTCGAGGGCCATGGGGAGGCCATGGGGTAAAAGAGGGACAAGGGGCTAGGACAGGTTTCACCGTGAGTCTGCTCAGGTCCCTGCAGAGCCTGCAGGTGCTCCCAGGGTGCTGAGCACCCCCAGCTGGGCACAGAGGGTGCTCTTGTGGGCCTTGGTGTCCTTCTCTCACAGCCCTGGGTGCAGGTGAGTGCAGGTGACCCGGCTGCCATGGAGGGTGGCAGTGTCCCACTGCAGGTGCCACTGTCCCCAGGGGCTTGGTGCTGCCAGGCTGGGGCTGACCCTGGGCTGCAGCAGCACTGGGGTGAGTGGCAGTGTTGGAGGAGCCCTGGCCTTCCCACTCAGCCCCCAGGGCGGGCTAGGAATGGCTCCTGAATGTGGCCCTTGTGGCTGTGCCCGGGAGCGTGGCAGTGCCAGCGTGGTCCCTCCGTCAGGGCTGTGCAGCTGCAGGGCTCAGCTGCAGCGGGGCCGTGCCCACAGCCACTGCCCCTGCCAGCCCTGGCTCCCTCAAACAGCTCCTGGCCCCCAGCAATGACCCTGTGTAAGGAGCAGAGCCTCCTTAGCATGGCTGCAAGGCCAGAGACTGGGGGATTCCCTGCCCTGGGAGTCCCTGGGGATTTGCCAGGCTCCCTTAGCAGAGCTCTGCCACCCTGGCACTGCTGTGCCATGCTCTCACTGGCTTCAGCTGGAAGGGAGTCCCTGGGATCAGGTTCCTGGCGCACCATCAGAAGTTTGGAATTGGAGCTCAAGATGCAGAAGTGAGATGGGATGAATTCCCAGCTTACTTTGCTTAAAAAAACCCTCATTTGTTCAGGGATCACTACAGGGAAAAAGTAGTTTGGAAGAAAGTTTAGAAATGTCAAGTTAAAAACTCAGCATGTTTTTGGCCCAAAGTGATGTGTTGTCATTTTAGAGATTTCAGGTTGATTAAAAATTCTCACACTGAGATCCAAGAAGAAGTGCTTGGGGATGATCAGCACATGATCCTGCTTGGGAATTACCAGGGCTTGGAGAGAGCAACTGCTTGAATTTGCAGTGGAAAAAAAGCAGCTCTGTTTCCTCTGTGGAAAAAACAAACGAGTGGTGACCTCTCAAAGCTCCTGGTGACCTTGGCCGGGCAGTGGGATCTGGCAGGAGGAGCTGATGCTGCTCAGGGTGGGTTGTATGGCCTGTCATGGCCTGGAGAACACAGCCATGGCACAAGGGGGTGACATCCTGGGCCTCTGGGTGTGAGCTGAGGCCTCTTAGTGACCACCCAGCCAGCGCAGACACAGGAGGGGAGTGTTCCTGGGATCTCCTGCCTGCAGATCCGGCGGAAGGCGTAGGTTTGACTCCCTGTCTTCTCCGTCACCTCCTCTCTATTCCCTCCACCCCCAGAGCCAGTTTTAGTCATTTTCCTGGGAAGGTTTCACATCTTCCCACGGCTGAGGACACCTGAAGGGCAGCAGTGGGACAGGAGCTGTGGTGTGGGATGGGTTTCTTTGTGAGTCTCAGTGACACTGAACTGAGCCTGAGCTGTGCAGTGGATCCACCAGGGATGGGGCACCCAGAGGGTCCTGGGCAGGCTGGAGGAGTTCACGTGAACCTCCTGGAGTTCAGCCAGGCCAAGTGCAAGGTCCTGCACCTGGGTCAGGGCAGCCCCAGCACCAGCACGGGGAGCAGCCCTGGGAGAAGGACTTGGGGGTGCTGGTGGTGACAAACTGGATGTGACCTGGCCATGGGCACTGGCAGCCAGAAACCAGTCCTGCCCTGGGCTGATCCCACAGCGTGGGCAGAAGTGAGGGGGGATTCTGCCCCTCTGCCCACTCAGGTGAGACCCCACCTGCAGAGCTGCCTCCAGCCCTGGGGAGCCAACATCAGAAGGATGTGGAGCTGCTGGAGGGAGTCCAGAAGAGGCCACAAAGATGCTCCAAAGGCTGGAGCCCCTCACCTCTGGGACAGGCTGGGAGAGCTGGGGGTGCTCACCCAGAGAAGTGGAGGCTCCAGGGAGAGCTCAGAGCCCCTTCCAGTGCCTAAAGGGGTTCCAAAAGAGCTGGAGAGGGACTTTGGACATGGGATGGAGTGCCAGAACAAGGGGGAATGGCTTCCCACTGCCAGAGGGCAGGGTTAGATGGGATACCAGGGAGAAGTTTTTCCCTGTGAGGGTGGGTAGGCCCGGGTGGGCCCTGGCACAGGGTGCCCTGAGCACCTGTGGCTGCCCCTGGACCTCTGGAAGTGTCCAAGTCTAGGTTGGACAGGGCTTGGAGCATCCTGGGATAGTGGAAGGTGTCCCTGCCCATGGCAGGATTTGGAATTAGAACAGGATCTACAGGCATTACTCAGGGCTGCTGGTGTGGCTGCTCTGTGGGCAGGGCGGGTGACCACAGGGTCACAGAGGCTCCAACTGAGCCACCTTGTGCAGCCACAGCCCTCAGACTCAGGTGGGGATGATCTCAGCAGGTGCTCCACAGCTGAACATGGCCTGGTGGGGAGCTGGCAGGGCCTGAGCAGCCTGAGTGGAGAGTGGGTGATGGTCCAAAGGGTGTTCCATGACCTGTGGAGTGTGGACCCTCCCAGGACACCTTGCTAGCCCATGATATGTTGGCATAAAATGTTTCAAAACCATAAAGGTTCCAAAAACATGCTGCTGAGCATCCCAGCATGGAAAGTGCCTTCCCCTCCCTGTTCCTGGCCCTGGGTTTGTTTTTCAGGCAGCTGGGGTTGGAGGCAGGAATCCACAGGGTCCCAGGCTGGCCGTGGGAACCCAGCGTGCTGCTGCTGCTGGGGTGGCCAGAGGGGAGCAAACCAGCCAGCCCGGATGCGAGCTGTGGAGCTGTCCGTGTTTGCCATTTCCTGTGTCAGTGCAGCCTTTCCCCTGACTCACAGCCTGCCTTTTCCTCCCACTCCTAGAAAACACCGAGTGAAGGTTCCAGCCAGTGCAGGGGTGTGGGAGCAGGGGGTCCGAGCAGCTCCACTGCCTGCTCTGCATGACCAGGTGTGTCCCTGTCCATGGTGGGTCCCTGTCACCTGTGTTCCTCCCCACTGCTGGCTCTTGTCCTCCAGCTCAGAGTCTGAAATCCTGGTGTCCTGTGCTGCTGCCATCAGCCCTTTGCAAAGCCAGCTCTTGGCACAGACAGGGAGCTGGGCTCTGGCAGTGGATCTGTGAGAGGACAGGGATGTGTTGGTGTCTGGCAGTGGATCTGTGAGCGGACAGGGATGTGTTGGGGTCTGGCAGTGGATCTGTGAGCGGACAGGGGTGTTTTGGGGTCTGGCAGTGGATCTGTGAGCGGACAGGGAGGTGTGTTGGGGTCTGGCAGTGGATCTGTGCATGAACAGGGGGCTGGGCTCTGGCAGTGGATCTGGGAGTGGACAGGGATCTGTGAGTGGACAGGGAGCTGAGCTCTGGCAGTGGATCCGTGTGAGGCAGAGATGGGCACATCCCAAGCTTGTCCCAGCCTCCCCCGAGCAGCCAGGGCATGGCAGTCAGCTGCCCGGGCAGCATCCCCCAGCCCCGGGTGACACCTGCTGTCTCTCCCCCGGTGGCGGTGACAGCGCGGTGACCGGCGGTCATGACAACGGAGACAGGCCCCGGCTCTGAGGTGAGGAACGCGCAGGAGGACGCTCCGCAGCAGCAGCTGGAGGCGGCCGCCCAGGGCCCCACGGCCGCGCCCAACCCCGCCGGCCGCGACACCGACCCCAATGAGAAGCTCGGGGCACAGCACGACACCCGAAACATGGAGCCGGTGAGTGGGTGTTGGAGGGGGAACGTGAGAGGGGACGGGCAGGAGCAGCACGGGAGGGGCCGTGCCACCGCTCGCTGCTGGCCGTGGTGCCGGAGCCGTGAGGCGGGCCCGGCCCTTGGGCCCGAGGGGCTGCCCCGAGAGGAGCCCCTCAGGCGGGGCTGGCCGGCTCTGCCGCTGCCCCCGCTGCCCGCACAGCTCCTGCAGGCAGGACGGGCCGGGGCAGCCGTGTGGCTGCGGTGGGAATGGCCCTGCTGGCCCCGCGGGAGAGGACAGTGGTGCCGGGTCCCCACTGAGCTGCCCCGGGCCCGCTGGGAGCCCCGGCTGCAGCCGGTGTTGGCTGTGGGGCTGCTGGGGAGCTGAGCTGCTGCCCTGGTAGTTGGGCAGGGAAGTTTGGGTGCTGAACTGACCCCCGGTGTCCGTTTTCCAAGGAGCTGGGCTATGCTGGCAGTGTGGGTTGGTGGAACTGGCCTTGGCTGGGCACTGTTCATCAGCAGCTGCCCTGGGCTGGGCACTGTTCTGCTGTGCAGAGCCTTTCCCCTCTGCCCGTGTGTCCCTCGGCAGGGATGCCAGGTAACCCTCTGTGTGTCCCTGCTCCAGGGCACAGACGTGGAGGACAAGGACTACAGTGAGACCGACGGGCTCTCTGACAAAACAACTCCCAGCAAGACCCAGAAGTCCCCCCAGAAAACCACCAAGAAAATGAAGAGTGCCCTGTGCAGGGTGACCCTGCTCGATGCGTCCGAGTACGAGTGTGAGGTGGAGGTGAGTCCCAGATTTGGGGTCTGTGCTGGAACCAAGGAGGGAACACTCCTGGGACAATGCCCAGTCCAGAGAGTCCTGAAGGACAGGACTCTTTCTAGGACAGCTTTGTAGTACATTTGTCCTGGGGAAAAACACACAGAGAAATAGCCATTTAAGTGGAAATTAATTAAAAATCTGGAAAGAAAGACCCTTGCAGGGGATATCAGCCCAGTGAAATCAAATTTGGCAGCTACCCATAAGAGAAAACAGTGTCTAAGTCAGAAGCTTAGTGGCTGGGGATAGAGCTCTACCTGTCAGTTCAGGCACCTGGCAGTGGCTGTAGGGTGGGACAGAGGGGACATCCACCTGGCAGAGGCTTCACCAGAGGTGCTCTCCATCACTCCACATGCTCTTGGCTCTTAGTGGCTCTTGTTATGCTGTGCTTGGGGATCCAGCCACCACTGCCACCAGGAGCCCATCCCTGCACCCTTGAGACCTGGGTGTCTCCACAGTGGTGCTCCATATCTGCAGCCCTGGGACACCCTTTGGTACTGCTTTAGGGACACACAGATGATCCTGGGGCTGCAAGGCTGGGATGTGCTGAAGCCCATGCTGAGTGAGAGCATGTTTTGGTGGTCACCTGGAGGGTGTCCAGGAGCCCAAGGGACCAGCTGACCATCAGCCTGTCCATGTCTCTGACAGAAACATGCCCGAGGCCAGGTGCTCTTTGACATGGTGTGCGAGCACCTCAACCTCCTAGAGAAGGACTACTTCGGCCTCACCTTCTGCGATTCAGACAGCCAGAAGGTGAGCATGGGGGAGTCCTTCTGCAGCCACCCCTCCAAGGTGGGAGCCCCCCTGACCTGCTGTCTCCTTGTTGCAGAACTGGCTGGACCCCTCCAAGGAGATCAAGAAGCAGATCCGCAGTAAGTGCCTGGGGAGGGTCCATCCTCCTCAACCCTGGGGTGTCCCATGGGGCTCCTGGATGGCTCGGTCTGGCTGTCCGGTGGCAGGTCACCTCCCCTCCTGCCCTGGAGGGGACCTTTGGCAGCTGGCCTGGGGACAGGGACACTTGATAATTCAGCTGTTTGTTACCCATCTCTTCTCTTACTCATGAGAGGCTAGGGGACAAAGGGCTCTGTCTGTGCCACTGGAGAGCTGTCTGAGACTTGGTGCCGCTCTGGGCAGCACCTGCCCCGTGCAGGGGGGACAGGGATAGTGGGTAGAGTGGGGGTCCTTGCTGGGACAGGTCCTGGGGTGCATTTGCCATGGTATTGCTTTGCTGGGATGGCAAAAGAGCTGTTGTCCAAGGTGTCACTTCCTGGGACACAGGGGGCTTTCGCTGGGACAACAGCTTGAGGCTCCTGCAGTTGTGATGCTTTGCTGTCCCCAGCTCTCTGGGGAGGATTCCCCAAAAGTTGTACTGTGCCCCTGGCAGCCTCTAGAGCCCCCTTGTCCCTGCCCTGTGCAAGGCTTGGAGGGAGCAGCGGGATCCTCAGTGGACACACTGATGCTCCTGTGCCCTGTGTGCAGCCCCATGGGTGCTGTCCTGAACTGCTCTCTCCCCTCCCCAGGCGGGCCCTGGAACTTTGCCTTCACTGTGAAGTTCTACCCTCCAGACCCTTCCCAGCTCACAGAGGACATCACCAGGTGAGGACAATGGGCCTCCTTCCCAGGGAGTCCCAGCCTGCTCCAGAGGGCAGTAGATTCCTTCCCAGGGAGTCCCATCCTGCTGCAGGGTGCACCAGACTGCTTCCTGGGGAACCCCAGCTCACTGCCCTGCCCCACTCTGACCGCCTGCCCCTCCTGCAGATACTACCTGTGCCTGCAGCTTCGTGCCGACATCATCACGGGGCGCCTGCCCTGCTCCTTTGTCACCCACGCCCTGCTGGGCTCCTACGCTGTCCAGGCCGAGCTGGGTGACCACGACACTGAGGAGCACGTGGGCAACTATGTGAGCGAGCTGCGCTTCGCCCCCAACCAGACGCGGGAGCTGGAGGAGCGCATCATGGAGCTGCACAAGACCTACCGGTGAGCCCCGAGTGGGGACAGCATGGACAGCTGCCCCACGCCCCTGGGCTACCCAGCCACGTGTCCCCCTCTCTGTCTCCCTGCAGGGGAATGACCCCCGGGGAAGCAGAGATCCACTTCCTGGAGAATGCTAAGAAGCTGTCCATGTATGGGGTGGACCTGCACCATGCCAAGGTATGGGGCTGGCAGCTGCCAGAGCACTGCCCCTTCCCAGCCTGCTCCTGCCCACCTTCCTCCCGCAGGGAAGTCTCCTGGCATGGCTTTGGGTGGCACCAGAGAAGCTCCAGAGATCAAACTCCACCAGCCTGGGGTTTACTGTTCCCTCTGCCAGCCAGGCCCCCAGAACACTCTGCAGGAGGGATGTGGCACTGCTGGCCAAGCTGGTTCTTGCTGAGCTGCTGACCTGTTCCCTCCTGTCCCCTTGCCTCCTCCAGGACTCAGAGGGCATCGACATCATGCTGGGTGTCTGTGCCAATGGCCTCCTCATCTACAGGGACCGACTGCGCATCAACCGCTTCGCCTGGCCCAAGATCCTCAAGATTTCCTACAAGAGGAGCAACTTCTACATCAAGATCCGCCCGGGGGAGGTGGGTGCCAGGTGCTGGTGCAGCCCCTGCATACCTGTCCTGAGTGATTTGGGCTGATGGTGAGGATTTCTTCACCTGGCTCTGGCCTCTGCTCCAAGGATCCCACATTTATGACCATGCTAGCCAAGACAGCATATTTCCTGTGGCATGGATTTTCTTTCATGTTCTCTCGCGACTTCAACAGCTGAGGGACCCCAGGATCCCATCCCTGACATCATGACCCTGCTGGTATAGGGAGCTTGCCCAGAAATGGGGGTTAAGGGCCATTTTTGTCACATCTTCACAAAGTTGTTTCATTCGTTTTCAGACTTTATTTTCACTCATTTATGGTGGGAAAATGCATTTCTACCCACGTGTTCCAGCAGGCTGGAGGGCAAGGACAGCACATGTGGGAGTGATGCCCTCAGACCAAAACAGCTGTAAAAGCTTTTTGTTTCTTGAGGGAATTTATCTTGCCCTGAAAAGCCATTTATAGCTGAGGAAAGTGGCCAGAGGTGTGGAGTGTATCCCGTCACACTGCTGGGCATGGTGCTGGGCATGGACCATCCCAGCATGGATTTGAAAAAGATTTTTGAGGGTCTTTTGCATGGTGACAGCTGCTGCCAGGGGAACCTGAGGACCTTGGCAAGATCTTGGCATGTCCCCCAGGGCAGGATGTGCCTGTAACAGCCTGTCTGTGTCTCCCCCAAGTACGAACAGTTTGAGAGCACCATTGGCTTCAAGCTGCCCAACCACCGCTCAGCCAAGAGGCTCTGGAAGGTCTGCATAGAGCATCACACCTTCTTCAGGTGAGGCACCTTCTCTAGCCCTTCTCCAGGCCTCCTTTCCTGGAGGCAGATACATTCCTGCTTCGGCTGCAGTGGGTGCACGTGGGGAGCAGTGCCAGGGGGCCTGACTGGGACTCACTGACACCGTCCCACCCCTGTGACCCCTAGGCTGGTGTCTCCAGAGCCACCCCCCAAGGGTTTCCTGGTGATGGGCTCCAAGTTTCGGTACAGCGGGCGCACGCAGGCGCAGACACGCCAGGCCAGCGCCCTCATCGACCGCCCCGCGCCCTTCTTCGAGCGCTCCTCCAGCAAACGCTACACCATGTCCCGCAGCCTGGACGGAGGTACAGGGGGACAGGGGGACACTGCTCCTCTGGCAGGAACAGGGGAAGCTGCCCAGCCTCGCTGGGCTGGGTCACAGCAGCATCAGGCTTCCCTGTGGCACAGGGGCTGTCCGCACACCAAGGGGTAGCTCAGACTGTGCATGAACAGGGGGATGTGGCAGGGCTGGGGTCAGGCAGCTCAGGGACACATTGCCCCCTCCCTTGTGTCCTGGGACCCCTGGGACCACCTGCCCCATGTGTGAGCTGGCAGGGGGCAGGAGCAGGGTGGCAGGGCTGTGGTGACCCGGCTGTCAGAGCTGGCAGGGGCAGGGGGGCTGAGGCAGGAGCAAGGTGGCAGGGCTGGGGTGATCAGGCTGTCAGAGCTGGCAGGGGCAGAGGGCTGGGGCAGGAGCAGGGTGGCAGGGCTGGGGTGACCTGGCTGTCCCCCATGGGCAGAGTTCTCGCGCCCAGCCTCTGTCAGCGAGAACCACGACGCCGGGCCTGAGGGTGAGAAGCAGGATGAGGACGGTGAGTTTGGCAGCAGGAGACGCTCTGAAATGGAGGATGAGGAGGTGACCACCCCGACGAAGATCAAGGAGCTGAAGGTACAGCCGAGGTGGGCAGAAGAGGGTGGGGGTGGAGGGGTAGGCAGGCAGGGCCCGGGCACAGGCAGCAGGGCTGGGCTGCAGGCAGGAAGGGTCACCTCAGGGCAGGGTCCCTGCAGCCCTGTTGGTGTCAGCTGTGTCCCAGGCTGGTGGGACCCCTGGGACATGGCTCTTGGCCCCACCGGTGAAAATGGAGCTGTTACAGGGGTTCAGATTAACTTGGATTCCCCAGAGCCCTCCAGGTGGTCTCAAGGCTCATCTCCAGGCAGGGTTGGACCTGGGAGCAGCCCGGTTCTGGGACAGGGATGGGGATAGGCTGAGCACGTCAGTGCCCACCACTGCCTGTGCACAGCCCACCCCCTCCTGCCCTGGTCCCTGGGCTGTCCCAGCCCATTTCAGCCCCATGCTGGGAGGGGAGGGGGGGTCCCTACCAGCCTATCAACTTAATTGTGGTGTTTGTGACAAGTGCCCTCAACTGACCCTGCTGGTTACTTTTAACCCTCTCTTTGCTGCCAGCCGGAGCACGAAACAACCCCCAGGCACAAGCAGGAGGTATTCTCTCTCTGGAGTATCTTAGTCCTCATTGGTGCATCATATTGTCCATCCTTCCCAAAACAAGTCCGTCTGTCACCCTATTTACTGGAATACAAGATGCACCGGGCTGGGGGTTGGGTGCTGGAGGAGCCCGAGGAACAGACAGCTGGGGATCAGCTGTGGCATCTTCTATCCCATTAAGTAAGGTGGTCCTGATCGTGCCTGTGAGCAAGAGCCCTCCCAAGGGCAGGAGAGCCCCTGGCCCATTGGGATGACTTGGCTTCTGCTCGTGTTCCTGACCCCGCCATGTCCTCACCTTGTGTCTCCTCTCCTGTGGAGCTGGTCCCATCCTACTGCTGGCACCCGACCCACGCTCTGCTCCTGCCTGACCCATACTGCCTCATCCCCCCCTGCCCAGCTCTCCTGCAGCCCCCGGAGAGCTGGGCTGGGGCTCCCCAAGCACTATGGCTGCCATCCCACCCCACAGGGGCTGTGAGGCTCTGAGCTGCCTAGGGGGGCCAGCACTGACACCAGCCCTGTGCCTGCCTACCCCGAGAGGAGCTAAGCAGAGAGGGAGGCTGAACCCTCCCTGCACAAATTGTGCCTGTGGTGGCCCCATCAGGAACGATTCATCCTGGCCTCAAATCCAGGACTGCTCCCTGGAGGATCCCCTCTGGGAGCAGAGATCCCAGCTGGAGCTGCCAATGGGAGTGAGCACGGCCAGGGGGTGGGGTTGGCCACGCCGGCACCGCCCAGGCTCCCTGTGCAGCCCCACCGGGGGTGGGCACCGGCCCCGACCCCGCCCTCCTCATCGCTTGCCCACTGCATGTGCATGTGCTGCGCCCAGCCCAGAGGTGGGCACACCTGAGCCCCCCTCAGCTCGGACATGCGGGGCCAGGGCAGGACTTTTCCTGAGCTCTGCTGAGCCTTCTGCGTCTGGAAAATTTGGTGGGGTTTTTCCTGGGACTCTCACGGGTCTCTGCTCTGTTGCCGAGGAGGTGCTGGGGAGGTGTTTGGGGGCCGCCTTTTGAACCTCAGGAGAGCTTTGGGTTTGGGTTGGAGGCAGAAGCCAGGTTCCTCCTGGGAGCCGGTTTGTCCACCTCTGCGGCGGGACGAGGGGGCACCCTGGCACTGTGCCCTCACTGAGCCATGCTCTGACACTGACCCCTCTCCCCTGAGCGGTCTGAGCTGTTCACTCTCCACAGCAGATCAGACCCACCCCACTCTGGGCTGGTCCGCAGGGATCCAGGCCTGGATCCATGCTGGACATCCCTGCCCAGCCCTGGACCTCCGCCCCTTTGTCAGAGCTTGCTCCAGAGGAGCTGTGCTGGAAATACCTTTCTGAGACAGAGCCTGGGCTCCCTTTGTGCCTGGCACCAGAAAACAGCAGAGGCTGCTGTTGTTTCCAGCAGGGTCCCATTCCTTGCTGATCCCAAGGGAGAGCCAGCTCTCCCCTCCAGGACGCTTTAGTTTGTCCCCAGCCAGGAGGACACAGAGCCCTGGAGATGCCACCAGGCCATGCTGTGCCCTTCACCTGCTACCCACGTTCTGCTGCTGCCTGCAGTAAAGAGCTGCTCCCTCTGCTACAGTGAGACCTGCAGACCATGGTGCTCCATTACACTCCTCATTTGGATCCTGAGACCCCAGATTCCAGCCCAGTGTGACACCAACTCTCCCGGTGCCCCTGCTCATTCCTTTGGACTGGGCTGCTGCTTTAACCATCTCTCTCTTCCTCTCTCCTTCCCAAGTTTTTAGACAAGCCAGAGGACGTTTTGCTGAAGCATCAGGCCAGCATCAATGAGCTGAAGCGGACCCTGAAGGAGCCCAACAGCAAACTGGTTCACAGGGACCGGGACAGGAGGCTGCCTTCCTCACCAGCCTCTTCCTCACCCAAGCACGAGGATGAAACACCAAAGGGAACCCCTGAAAAGGCCACTGAGGTTTGTTCTGCTGCTTCTCTTCCAGAGAGGGTCAGGATCTGTTGGGGAGGAGTCCTTCAGCTCCTGTGCTGCCCTGAAGGAGCTCAGTGGGAGTGACGTGCTGGGGACAGGGGTGTTGTTTCTATGCTTTTGAACCATTTTCACTGCTGGTGGGGGGGTCTCCCTGGCACTGGCAGAAGACTTGAGCAGCCCTTGTCTGGAGGGGTTTTGGGGCTACCTGAGAGGTGGGCTGTGGCTCTGGTGGCCCATGGGGTGGGGTTTTGCTCACTTTTCTCAAGAGCAGCCTGTGGGACAGGGCCAGTGCAGCTCCTGCCCAGGGATGTCCCCAGCAGAGAAGGTCCAGGCTGCTATGCAGGGGTGCCCCGTGGTGCTCTCAGCAGTGGAACCTGGGTGGTGGGAGGAGGTGGAAGATGAGTGGTGCCACACTGGCATCCCACAGCCACACCCTCCCTTCTGGGCATTCGGCACACTGGCTTTGCACTGGGACCACGGGGGCAACAGGAGAGCGCTGGAAGTGGGGTGCCAGGACAGAGGCCCCGGTGCTGGAGGGGTGTGGATGTGGCACAGCTGGGCTCTGTGGCCTGGGTCCCTTCTGGGCTCAGTGCAGGCAGCATGTGACAGGAGTGTCTCCCTGCCAGCCTGGATGCCCTGTCCCTGCCAGGGACCTTCCTTGCCTGCTGTCCCTTGGCACGGCTCTGAGCCAGTGCTGTGCCCACAGCAGGGGACGTGGCTCCAGGAGGGTGGGTGCCACCTGTGGGGCTGCTCTGCCCTCTCTGCCCTCTGTCATGGAGAGGGCACGGGCTCTGCGGGGAATTTGGGACGTGCCCGTGTTCCCACTGGGCCCCAGCCCTGCCTGGAGATTGGGGCTGCAGAGGGGGCTGTGGCCCCTCACAAAGTGTTCAGCTGGGAAGAGGAAGAGGGGCTTTCCCCTACATTGCTTTTACCATGGACTAAATCAGGCACAGAGATGTGACTGGAGCATCTAGAGCTGGCACAGCTGTGACCTCTGTCCATCTGTCTATCCATCCTTCCATCCATTCATCCATCCACTCACCCACCTGCCCATGCTTTGTTCCTTCATTCCTTCTCAAATTCTCCCTTTCTCTCTCTCTTTCTCTTTGTCTTTGTCTCTGTCTCTCTGTCTCTGTCTCACTCTCTCTCTCCCCGTGGGTGCTGGGGTTTCCGTGCTGGCACAGACGATGGAAGAGGACACCTTAGACGATTTTGCATCTGAGCATGGAGCTTCCCTAAGCATGGAGTCTTTCACACAGAAAAGCCTTGTCTCCTCTCCTGAGGTTGTCACCATCCCCTTTCTCCCCTACCTCTCACTCCCATCATGGGGGTCTCCAGCCTGCCGAGGGGTCTTGTGCCCTCTGAGCAGAGCTGCCCATGGGTGGGTGCCCTTTCTGGTGATAGGCAGGACCCCTCCCAGGACAGGGCTGTTGGTGAAACCTCTCCCCTGGCTGTTCCTGCTGGACTCTGAGATGTGTTCCTGGAGAGAGCTCCCAGTGCTGCTGCGGGGCCATGCTGGAGCCCAGTACTGAGGGTCCCAAGGCAGGGGTGACCCGATGGCCTGGACACCTGGGTGGCTGCTCCAGCAACCTCAGGCTGTCCTGGCTGCAGCTGGAGTTCCCTAGGCCCAGGCACCCTGACAAAGGGCATCCTTGGAGACATCCTTGGACCTATGCCTGTGCACAGCCAGGTCACACTCTGTCAGCGTGAGGAGTGTGAGCTCTCCCCCTGTGTGCAGGTTTGGCTCAAGGGAGGGGGCAGCCAAAAGTGGTGCCTTCACTGAGCAGAAGCAGGCTGGGGTTTGAGCCTTGGTTCTGGCATGGTTGGCCCCAGGGACATGCGGTGCTGGGACGCTTGTCCTGCCTGAGCACCCCAGGGTGAGGCAGAGGGGTGGGGGACAGGCTGGGCACACTCTTGCTGCATGTGGATGTCCTTTAGTCCATGCAGAAGTCACTAGCATGGGCAGGAGCCTGAAGCTGGGCTGGCTGAAGCAATCCCCAGGAGGCAGAATGGGGGTCAGGGAGGGCTTGGGCACAGCCTGGCCTTCAGCAAGGACAGCACCTTCCACAGAGCAGCAGCATCTCCTGGTTCATGTTGGCACCCTCCCCGTTCCAGTATTTGGGAGCTGGAGGACAGAAACAGCAGGTGTGAGGTGCACACCCATCTCCTGAGTCAGTCTTGCTCTCGGTGTGCCCGGCCTGAGCTGGGGTGCAGGTGCTAAGGTGGCCTCACCAGTGGTTTCTCTCCAGGCGTATGTGACTGAGACTCAGCCCTGACATGTCCCCACGTATCCCCACAGGCCAAAGCCTGTGGTCTTCCTGAGAGATTCATGGCCCCGAGAGGGTGATGGCACAAGGACAGACCATCTGCAGAGCCTGGAGCTCTCATCACTGCCAGAAGGTCCGCTGGTGCCCATGGGCTGCAGGCCCACTGGGGTTGGGTGATCTGTCACTTCCAGCTCTCTGGCCCCATTCCTGCTGGAGGACAGGAACACTGGACTGGGTAGTGCCAGGAGCCACTCCAGCTCCCTGTTTTATCCCAGTATCTGATTCCCTGGTTATCCTTGCCTGAGGCTGTGCTTTCCTCTCAGGTGACCTGGATCTCCCTCAGAGCAGAGAAGGGCAGCAGGGGCACTGAAGGATGCCCAGGGGAGATGTGCCTGTGGCTCTCCCAGGCTGTGGCCCCTGTTGGCAGGAGGAGAGGCTGTCTGATCCCTGCTGTCCTCTTTCCTTTCTGTCTCCTATGTTGCCTCGGCCACAGTGGGAATGGCCTTCCCAGTTGCTCCTGTCCCTAGAGCAGATGCATGGGGAGGGAGGGAGGGAGGGAGAGAGGGCAGGAAATGTGAAAGTCACTTATCCCTTGGGAGGTCAAGGCTGGTCTCTGGAGAGAGCTTTCCCAGCATCATCCCTCATGAGCTCCCTGCTTCCTTGGGGGATGTGCCCCAGTATCCAGAGATTTGCTCCAAGCATCCCCCAGAGCCCTCAGGCTCTGGAGACACAAGGACTGCCCTGAGCTGTGGCTGGAGCCAGCACTGAGCCCTCCAGAGCAGAGTTCACATCGCACCAAGGAGGAGCTGAATGGCCCTTGAGCTGGGCTGTGCTCATGTGCTCATCTCAAGAGTCTGAGGAGAAGGAAGAAGCTGGTTTGGAAATAAATCTGAAACTTTAGGGTTTTCCTGATTGGTGAAGAAATCATGTCATGGATGAACATGTTCCAGGGGTCAGACTTTTTGATCTATGTTTGTCTTGGACCTTAACTCAGAAGAGGAGCCTGAAGAAAATTATCCCCTTGGTCCAGGGAAGATCTCCTCCAAAGGACTCTGGTTTGCAGCCAGAGAAGAGGGATGAGAGGGCTTTGCTGAGGAGATTTGAACATGTGCCCACAAGCTGTCCATACTTGTCCTGGCTGAGAATGGTTTCAGCAGTGGAACAGCAGGGCAGGAGCAGGAGAGAAGCTGCTGCACCCTCAGGAAAGTGAGTGGTGTCCTGGCTGAGTGTGGCTGCAGGACGGCAGGAGGGAGTGCAGAGGGACTGATTGCCAGACACCAGCAGGGCTGCCCAGCAGCCCAGGGAGCCTCCCGGTCAGGGGGGAGCCAGTTGCCATGGGTCTGACCCACCTGGGAATGGCCCTGGGGCAGCTGCTTCTGGCAGGCACTGATGGGCTCTGTTCCCAGTTCCATGGACTGGGAAGGAACAAAAGCTGCATTGGAGGCAGGAGTGGAGGAAGGGAGCTGGAGAGCAGCTGGTGCAGGGTAAGGGGCTATGGGAGAGGCTCATGCTGGAGGGGGCTGGGGTCAGGTCTCCTGTAGACCCTGCTGCTCAGTGGTGCTGCCTGGCCAGGGCAGAGTCCTTGCCAAGGATCCCTCTGGCACCAGAGGAGGAGGGTGCCCTTGCTGCCCATCCTTGTGGATGTCCTGGCACTGTGAGGAGCTGGTCTTTCCTGCCCTCAGGGGTGGGGTGTTCTCTTGGGGACCCATAGGCTCCCAGGTGCTTCCCTGAAGGCTCCTGGGGGTTTCTGGGGGCAGAGGGAATCTTGTCAGAGCCTGGGGCAAGGGCGGGGGGGTGCTGCAGTGAGGGCAGGTTCAGGGCCTGCAGCACTGTGCCAAGGGAGCTCTGCTTCCTTTGACACCTGGCAGAGAAAGCAGCAGCTGGGAAGCATTTTTCTGCTGGGGGCTTTCACCAACTTCTCATTTCCTTGGAGGAGCTCTTCCACTAGTAACTGGTTTTCCTCCTTTCTTTCTTTCTTTCTTTCTTTTCTTTCTTTCTTTCTTTCTTTCTTTCTTTCTTTCTTTCTTTCTTTCTTTCTTTTCTTTCTTTTCTTTCTTTTCTTTTTCTTTCTTTCTTTCCTCTAATATTATCTTCCCTTCCCTCCCTCTGGCTCTGCTCCCCTCTGCCCCCTGTTTCCCCTTCTCCAGTATCAGTCACTAGGTTTTCATTTTGGGTGTTACTGCTCCAAAGATTCCCCTGGCACCCTGCATGGGACAAGGCTCATGTTTCCAACTGATCCTGGTTGGAGGGGGCACGGACAGGCAGCCCCCTCCCTGGGCCTGGAGTACAACCTGGTGCCCTCGAGGGCCGTCTTTGCCCCTGCTGCAGGCTGTGCCCAGGCAGGCTGTGCCCAGGCAGTGCCAGCCCCATGGGGAGCCCCAGCATTGCCCTCCTCATGTGCTGCCAGGGGTGGCTGAGCTGCCCCATGATGCAGATGTTCCCCTGAAACTCTCTTCCCATGAGTTATTTCCTACCTGCTGTTCCAGAAATGGCTGGATTTTAGCAGTGCTTTGTTCTTGGCCCTCATGAGGCCTTTAGCTGATGTGCAGGATGAGCACATGGATGTACGAGGTGTCCCTGGCAGCAGTGACCTGGTGTCCCCTGCCAGCAGCATGGTGACATTCCTGCTGTGGCTGTGCTGCAGGATGCTCTCTGGCCTTTGCTTGGTCCTGCTCCTGAGCCTGTGGTCTTTTATGCTTCACAGGGAGCCTTTCACAGGTG